GGCTCCAGGGACTCAGGGGTCCCGGCAAGGCCCTGGCGGGGCCATGGCAGCCGGCAGCATCACTACGCTACCCACCCTCCCGGATGACGGCGGCAGTGGAGCCTTCCCGCCCGGCCACTTCAAAGACCCCAAGCGACTGTACTGCAAAAATGGAGGTTTTTTCCTGCGCATCCACCCCGACGGTCGGGTGGACGGGGTCCGGGAGAAGAGTGACCCTCACAGTGAGTGCTGGCCTTCTGTTCCTCCCTCTCCCCACTCCCTTCCAATTCCTATCTCTTGGTGATCTTTTTCCTCCCCTCGCTCGTGCCTCCTCTTCTCTCCGACCCTACTGGGACGTGTGGTTCCTTTCTGCGCAGTCCTTGGCGATTGCAGGTTCACTACTCGCGCTCTACTTTCCAGAGCTGCAGGAACGCAGGGAGAGTGCCACTTTCCCGGGTAAACCATTCCTCTGGGCTGGGAGCCTCAGACAACCTGTCACTCTGGGCTCGGCGGTGTCGCGCCTGGCTCGGCGGACGGCAAAAAAGGGGTGAGCCTCCGGAGAAGCGGCCACTTACCCACAGCGAGGTTCTGACCACTTCTCTGTCTGAGGCATGCAGCTCCGCGAACTAGGACAGAAGGAACGCAGCAGATTGAGACGTTTTTATTGCAAAAATACATTTTTAGAGACACTCCTTAAAATTGCGATGGACGCAGTTAGCACTGCTGTGACTTCTTAGGCTACTGTAGCCACATCTACTCCCCACAGTTCCCCCACTTCTTTCTTTCTTCCACCCCCTCCCCCCACCCCGAATTGGCTAAAGCTTGTAAGAGAGTGTGTTAAACAGTGTAACAGGTCTTTGTTTCAGTGGTGGAAATGTCAAAAGACTATAACATCTTTGCATCTGTAGTTTGGGAACCTTAAGCATCACTTTAACTCCTGAAGTGATTTCCTTATATGCCAAAATGCAGTCATTTTGAGGATCAGATGAGGTAATTAGTATAAAGTGCAATGGGGTATTGTCGTCTACACACTTGCCCTCTGTAGCCTATGATTTATTTGTGGTTATAGAAGTAATTTTGATCTAGACCAGTGGTTCTCAAGTTCAACGGCTGCATCAAAATCACCTGTATGGTTTGTTATGCACCGACTGCTAGCCGTTTTTCTCCAGACCTTCTGATTGTGTAGTTCTGAGGTGGGATCAGGGAATTTGCACAAGTTCCTGGGAAGCCTTGGTGTTGCAGTGGTGAAGCGCTTGGCTGCTAACCAAAAAGGTAGTCAGTTAGAACCCACCAGCCACTCCAAGGAAGACAGATGTGGCAGTCTGTTTCCATAAAGGTTTACCGAGTTGGAAACCCTATGGGGACATTTTCCTATCTGTCAGCTATGAGTCAGAATTGACTGAATAGTAATGGTTGGATAACAGGTTTCTAGGTGATGCTGATACAGGGACCACGAGTCTAGAAAAAAGTTGAAGAAAAGGGCATAAAATAGACAATACTCATGAAATTTAAAGAGCAACAAAGAGGACTCAAGTTTATAATTTTTCCAAGAAATTTTTGAAGGTCCTGGTATCCTGTAAAACCAACCAATCAGTTGCCATAGAATTGACTTCAACTCATGACAACCACGTGTGTGCCAGAGTAAAACTGTGTTCCATAGGGTTTTCGTGGCTGATTTTTTGGAAGTAGATTACTGACCTTTCCTCTGAGATGCCTCTGAACCTCCAGCCTTTCTTTTAGTAGCCCAGCACGTTAACTATTTGTACCAATCAGAAATTCTCGTCCTGTATAGATAAAAGATCTCTGTTTAAAGCTTCCGGTTCTGAATTTCCTCCCTTTATGAGGTCCACATGGAAAGTCTGATCCAGGATTTGCCTGAGAAAAAACCTGCAGGACTTCACCGTACTAATACCATGCAGTTCCTCTTTGTCTTAATACTTAAGGGAGAGAGTCACTCATGGGAAGGGAACAGGTTGGGAGGGAGGGACACTTTGTAGCC